TCACAATGAAAACATCTGATATTCTATTTCCTGAATATTCTTGAATTGCAAAGTAAACAATTGGCTATTGTAACTGCTAAATTAGAATTATCATGTTTAGATGCACCACCAGAGAGTGTCAGAAATAAACTCCATAATCTCCCATTTGCTTATTATAGTGCTTGTTTGTTCTTGTTGTTCAACAGATGTTAATCGTGTTAGCAAAGGTCATTGTTTAATCTTACTGTTTTTGACTCTTTCTGAAAGTTTCTGTTCATGCAGAAAAAATCAATGTGGAGTTCAAACTTCAATTTGGCACTTACTTTACCAAGAGATTTATTTTCTTTGAGTCTCAAGTATAATAATAATAAAATTTATAGGTTTACTGTTAAGATGAAATGAAATAGCATATGGCAAGTGCCTGGGTATATGCTGGGTGCCCCCAAAATGTTGACATCTGGTGGAATTCTCCTTTTATGGATATTATTTTCTTTTTAGGTAAGAGAAAGCCAAATTTATTTATCTATTTTCAAAGCAAAATATTATTGACTCATTCCAAACCCATTTTCTGCTGCCAAATAGAGCTCAAGTGACTCAGAAATTCTAAATAGGTCTCTATAACTCCTCAGTAAAATGCTTTCTTTTTCTTTTTTATTTTTACTCTGCTGACCAGCAATAATTTAAAGAAAATCAAAATGAGAACAAATACTATGACAAATATTCTTTATTTAGTTCAACTGATATTTTTAAAAGTCTGATTCATTATCAATTATCACTTCATTAAAAATAACAAAATCCATTATAATGGAGTAGAACCAGGACCTACTAGACAGTGTTTTCTGGAAAACAGGCAGAGCCTCCATTTCCCGTCTAATCTGGAGTTTTATTTAAAAGATACAACAGGAGCAAAGGATGGAACAAGGGGCAGAGATTAAAAAAATATATTTGACCTATTTGTTGACAACAAAAGACACATCATAAGATGTGAGGGTCAGATGCCTTAGAAATTATCTGCCTGCCACCAGAATGAACGTGGGCCCTCAAACTGCAAGGGAGTTTAGTCTTGCTACCTCCAGTTTTTTTCTAGTCAACTACTATTGGAAGCACCAGGTATGGATAAGTATTACTGAACCATTGGTACAGCTTTGCTCTTTCACTAATGTCCGCCCTCCACCTGCTTTTTTGAGATCTGATGGCTGGTCTAAGCAGTTGCTGTCCATGGTCCATTAGAGCTCGAAATGCTCTAATTATAGACTTAACGCACGCACAAGTTATGAAAGGAAGTAGGTAGACTCAGGCTGAGGATTTATTGATTGCTTTTAAGGAATTTAAACGTTTGCTTTCAATTAGACAATTAAATGAGTTCCAAAGTTGAGTCTTTGGAACTCAAGAATACATTCTGAGTTAAGACCAAATTCCTGTCTAGTTGATGGAGACACAATTGAGTATAAAACAGACACGGTCCCAATCTTGTGGAGCTTACACTTCTGTTACCAAGAAACATGAAAATAAAATAATTGAAAAAGAAAACTAAATATCTGATAAGCCCCTCAAAAGAGCAGCATATCCTGTTATGAAACTTTATAATGAAAAATTTCCCTTGTCATGGAATACAGAGAAGATTCCCATGAGGAGGGGATATTTGAGCTGGAATTTGAAGGATAAACACAATTTTATTGGGTGAGGTAGAAAATATAGGGGAAAGGTGTTACATGCAGAGAGAGAACATTGTGTGAAAGACCTTTGATACAGAAGAGAGCCTAACACTTTAAGGTGTACTAAAAGGAACCCCACTGTTGCTGGAGCTGGGGGTGGTTTATGATGTGAGGAGAGAGGATTTGGGTCAGTGTTGCTCATCAGTCATTCATCCATTTTCTCATTCATTTAATGAATGTGTGTGTGTGTGTGTGTAAATTTATAAAATTTCCTTCATTTTTTTCTTTTTTAAATTAACAGATAAGACTATATGCATTTGTTCTGTACAACATGATGCTTTGAAATATATGTGCATTGTGGAATGATTAAATCTAGCTAATTAACAACTGCATTACTAGACATAGTTATCATTTTTGTGGTAAGAACAGTTAACATCCACTCTCTGCATTCTTGGAGATCAATAAATATATAATGAACTCTAATTGGTATTAGTTATTTTGGAATATTGAGATGGGACCAGTGAATAAAACTTAAAGCTTTTTTTGAGCAAAACAATGTTAGGTAATGTTAAGTACCATGCAGAGAGTTCAAATGGACTGAAATGATGGATACAGCAGGTTTTCTGGCTGAAAATGGCTTGTAAGGGGAAACAAAGTTTTTCTGAAGCGTTAGATAAATGGGGGGGAAATGAAAGAGATATTCAGGGTAAGAAAAATGGAAAGAGCATTTCATGTAGACAAACAGCTTGTGCATAAACTTAGGAAAGTAACAAGCTTACATTGCAAAGAACAGAAAAGAAGATTCTTTCCTTCTGTGGCTGAATCTTAATAGGCAAGAAAGTAGGCTTTTCATTTTTCATTTTAATTATTTGTTAATTGCTATAGTCAGTTTCAGGGATCTTAAATGCTTCAATGTCCTAAAGGCTTGTAGTGCTGCTTTATTATTATTATTGTTATTATTACTACTATTATTATTATCCTTGTTTTAGAACCCTGGGACATGTCCTTATTATAGTCAGCTTTCTAAAAATAAAAACTCCTGTAGAAACACATTTTCTTTTTTTTGGTTCAATTTTCTTTCTTTTCTTTTCTTTCTTTTTCTTTTTCTTTTCTTTTTTTTTTTTTTTTTGTATATACTTTAAGTTCTGGAATACATGTGCAGAATGTGCAGGTTTTTTACATAGTTATACACGTGCCATGGTGGTTTGCTGCACCCCTAAACCAATCATCTACATTAGGCATTTCTCCTAATGCTATCCCTCCCCTAGCCCCCCACACCCCAACAGGCCCTAGTGTGTGATGTTCCCCTTCCTGTGTCCATATTTTCTCATTGTTCAACTCCCACTATAAGTAAGACCATGTGGTATTTGGTTTTCTGTTCCTCTGTTCGTTCACTGGGAGGAATGATTTCTGGTCTCACCCTTGTCCCTGCAAAGAACATGTATTCATCCTTTTTTATGGCTACATAGTATTTCATGTGTATATGTACCATATTTTCTTTATTCAGTCTATCATTAATGAGCATTTGGATTGGTTCCAAGTCTTTGCTCTTGTGACTTAGTGCTGCAGTAAAAATACATGTGCATGTGTCTTTATAGTAGAATGATTTATAATCCTTTAAATATATACTCAGTAATGGGATTACTGGGTCAAATGATATTTCTGGTTCTAGATACTTAAGGAATCGCCACACTATCTTCTGCAATGGTTGAACTAATTTACACTACCAACAGTGTAAAAGCGTTTCTATTTCTCCATATCCTCTTGGGCATCTGTTGTTTCCTGACTTTTTAATGATTGCCATTCAAACTGGCGTGAGATGGTATCTCACTGTGGTTTTGATTTGCATTTCTCTAATGACCAGTGATGAGTTTTTTTTTTTTTCATATATTTGTTGGCTGCCTAAATGTCTTCTTTTGAGGAGTGTCTGTTCATATCCTTTGACCATTTTTGATGTTTTTTTTTTTTCTCATAAATATGTTTAAGTTCCTTGTAGATTCTGGATATTAGTTCTTTGTCAGATGGATAGATTGCAAAAAATTTCATTTATTCTGCAAAAATTTTAATAAGTGGTACCTTGTTTTAACAATTATTTCACTTATTGCCTCTTCACTCTGATGATAGTTTCTTTTGCTATGCAGAAGCTCTTTAGTTTAATTAGATCCCATTTGACAATATTGACTTTTGTTGCCGTTGCTTTTGGTGTTTCAGTCATAAATTCTTTGCCCGTGCCTATGTCCTGAATGGTTTTGCTTAGGTTTTCTTCTAGGGTTTTTATGGTTTTAGGTCCTACATTTAAATCATTAATCCATCTTGAGTTAATTTTTGTGTAAGGTGTAAGGAAGAGGTCCAGTTTCAGTTTTCTGCATATGGCTAGCCAGTTTTCCCAACATCATTTATTAAATAAGAGTAACTAATATAAAATCACATTTACACATAAAACAACTTTATAAATCTTAGTTTATAATCTATGTTATGATAAAACACAAAGAAAAATTCAATACTATAGAGTAATAACTTGTAGCCTGAAATTTATTTTATCATTCCTAAATGTTGTATAGTGGTACCTTGTTTTAAATTACAATCCCTAATGACAAGTGATAGGAATTACTCTATCAAGTACTAGAACAAGAAATTATTATCTTTGAGACTTCAGAATGGGAGAAGTTATTAATGTTTCAACCATAGTCATAGACAGTTGATAAGTGGTGGAAGAAAAAATCATTGAAGTTTAGATAGAAGAACTATGAGAGAAACTATTGATTTTAAAATTGTCGATAATGATAATGGTGACATGATTCTAAGAAAGATTAAGAGAGTAAGTCAAGTCCTAAAATGACTTAATAATAATTGAGTCGTCCATGAACAGAGTTTGGTAGTTGTTAGCAGCAAAGACAATAAAGTCTAATCACACAAACTTCAAAGGAGACTGAACATTTAAAGGAGGAGGAAGGAGAGCAGCTTTGAAATAATACTAGCAAACAGGAGAAATATATGAGAGAAATAACAATTCTATTCTAGATGGCTGAACATTCCAGGACACTAGTCTCTTAGGTGTCCAGGAAGATCAGGAGCTTGAGGCCCTTGTGACGTGCCAGCATGTTGAGGTACCAGTCTGTGGACAAGGTGCTGTGTCACTTAGAGCAGCAGGCTTGGCACTGACCCTTCCGTCTCTTAGGTTGGTGATTGCAGGAGTTGGATCAGGAGAGGGATATAGAAAAGATCTCATCTTCTCTAGCAAAGTGATGTGAAATTGCAGCTCCATTTGGGGAGTTTTTCTTCATCAAAGAGCATTAGAAAACAATTAAATAGTTTCAAATGGAAAGGGAAAATATTTAATCTGAAGTAAAATGTAAATCACCATAGCTGATGTGTGGGTGATGTCTGGGGAGGGGAGATAGAGTAATTGCAAGAAAATTAATGAGGAAGCTCCTGATGAACTCTAAGGAGAAACTATAGTAATTTGGATCAGTGTGGCACTTCTGGAGAAAAGTGGACAAAGATGGCACATGTACCTATATGCATATGTGCATTAATGGATATCTGATTTAATACTGCACACACAAAAAACAGTTCATCTGAGAGGAGGTGCCAGGAGACAATGTAAGTGGTAAGTATGTTATGTTCTGTAAACTGATAGCAACCGGTGGAAAGAAAGCTGTGGAGGTTCTACCAACCATTGATTTGAAGGAATTGAGTAAAATTCTTTTAAATCTTGAAAATTTAGGTCTCTCCTGGAGTAAGGAATAAAAATCTTGAGAATATTATATATATTTTTGTATGTTTTATGTCTATCTAATCACACAAACACAGCATACATACCAAATAATAGCTAATATATCAAAATATTGGGGTAAGAATAGAATTTATTTTTTATCAGCTCCTTCATGTTTGAGTGGCAGTCATTGTAACAGGACACATCTTGCCTCTTTTACTCATACTTTTTAGGAATTGCTCTATGGTATTGAATTTTTCTTTTTGTTTTATCATAATGTAGACTATAAACTGAGATTTATAAACTTGTTTTATATGTAAATGTAATTTTTATATTAATTCATCTTATTTCGTGATATTAGATATCATAGCCATGCAAACTGCTCATTAAACCAGATTTATTTGTTTTTAATTCCTTTTTAATTGACTTACATATTTGTAACTGTCATTGAAACTTAAAAAAATTATCATGGCTACTGTTGAAGCCCTTTCACAATGCTTAATTGATTAAATATAAATTCTGCTCTGCACATCATGTAAAGGAAATACACATTTAACTTGTTGATACCTTGAAGATATAGCTCATGTGTAAATACTGCATTTTTAAAAGACAGCCAAACCCATTCCATAGATTTACTTCCTTTTTGATATGTGTGTATAAGGACTATTTTCTTCATTTTGATAACACATCAAATAACCAAAGGTCTCAAGAGAAATAATAATTTTGAAATTTATAAATGAAGTTCAATGTAAAAAAAGAAATAATATTTCCAACCCAAGTATTCCACGGGAAAAATGTGCATGGCATAGGAGACTATTATCATTAGAAGGTTTATACTTACTGTCAAATACGTACAAAGAGTGCTGTCATGATGGTTGTGGCTTTGTGATCTAAAATACCCCAAAAAGGCAGCATTAGGATGTACTTTCTCAGAATCAAAACTTTTAAGAGAATGGACTTCTTTCCTAGAAATGCAAAGGCAAATATGAGGACAGTCTTGATTAACAATGGCAGAAAACCCATCAGGTAAAAGGACCAACTGAAATTGCCAAAGCAACAAAGAAAAAGGGAATCAGTGTTTTCTCACAGAGATCATTTAAATGGACTAGTAAAGCATGTCCTGTATATACCTCACATATATAGCATGCACAAAATTTCCATGGAAGATGCTTGTAATGAAATACTATGTGGAGATTTAAACTATATTGTAAAATAAGGGGATATACTCTTCCAGTTTTCATGATTTATTGCCTCTCAGGTTTCCAGTCAATGCCTTATTGCCCTGCTTGTCACAATGGAGCTAGATGTTGGAAACATCACTCCATTACCGGTTGAGTTGCTGGAGAAACACTGACAAAGGAAGATGTTTCTTTTGCTGATTCTAGTGTGCTTTACTGAGTGTGCTTCCGAGGGACTGACTAGGCAGTTGTCCACAGACACAAAATAGTGCTCGCTTTCCAGTAGTTGCAAACTAGGGGTATTGTCTTGGTCCACCAGCTGTGGACCAGCCCTGTCTCCGACTAACACAATAAACCTTATTGCCATCTTGCACGCTGGAGCTGTGCCTCCTCCATTGGCATCTGGATTCTATCCTTGGAGGGTGGGAGGATACTGTCATGTTGATTTCTTATTTGGTCACTTTCCCTCAGCTCTACGCCCTTTTTTTACAGTTGTCTTTTATTCTCTCTTAGTAGCTAATTGCCTGTAAATAATTAATCTTCATAGTGTTTCTTTTCTGTTCAGATTACTGTGTGATCTCTCTTTCCTGACTGGACCATGACTGATATACACTTGAGCATACACATACAAACATACACATGGATAATTGGAAAGTTATGTTTAAAACAATTATAGTGATTGTTATTTCTGGATGCTTATCTTTGAAGTACTCTTTATTTTCTTCTGTATATTTTTGCATTGCCTAATTCTCTACAGTAATGCATTACTTTGGAAATCTAAAAATTTACACTAAATTTTAGAAAGGATTAGTAAACTCTCCTAAGTTTAGAAAATAAATAGACCCAGTATATTGAAAATAAACTAGGATCTAAATTTGATAAGGCTTAGCTTGGGAGATTTTTAAATCATCTTTATCCTTATCTTGTATGTTTTAAAAGATTCAAAATAAAATTAGAAAGAAACAAACACAATAAAATGTATTCAACAAAAAATGTCAGACATTTATGGTATTGCATTTGTTATTATAAACTAATTGCTGTTACAGACAAGAAAACAAAAAGTGGAATTACTTTTACAAACTTGTTCTAGATCAAAATTGGTCTATTTAGTGCCCCTTAAATAGAAAGTGACAGAATATAAACCAACCTGACAGTATGGTGGATGCATTATCAGTGTACTGACATGGCCTCCTTTGCCTGTTCTCTCTGATTTAATGTCATCAGACACAAGGTGATTTAGAACATTCTCGGTAATAATGGAGAAGCTGAAAGCAGATGTGTGGCTATTTTTAATGTTTTTTTCCTCCCCCAAGGTTTGTTATTTAGTTAAGGCAGTACTGCGGAGACAATCAGTATGTTGCAGAATGTAATGAAAATGAATATCAAGAGCAAATTACATTGATGGGAGAAAACTCTCTTTTAATTCTCCCCAAAATGTATTGCTGGAAGCCATTTAAAAAATATTTTTCTCCCTCAGAGTTTTAACAACTTGGAAACTTCTTATTTTATTTTATTTTATTCTGGGATACATGTGCAGGACATGCAGGTTTGTTAACACAGGTACACATATGCTATGGTGATATGCTGCACCTGTCAACCCATCACTTATGTATTAAGCCCAACATGCATTAGCTTTTTATCCTGTTGTGTTTCATCTCTCTGTGCCCCCGACAGGCAGGTGTGTGTTGTTCCCCTCCTTGTGTCCATGTATTCTCATTGTTCAGCTCCACAGTGCTTGGTTTTCTGCTCCTGTGTTAGTTTGCAGGGGATAATGGCTTCCAGCTCCATCCATGTCTTTATCCAATCTATCACTGATGGGCATTTGGGTTGATTCCTTGTCTTTATTATTGTGAATAGCGCATGCACGTATCTTTATAATAGAATAATTTATATTCCTTTGAGTATATATTTATTAATGGGACTTCTGGATCAAATGGTATTTCTGGTTCTAGGTCTTTAATGAATCACTAGACTGTCTTCCACAGTGGTTGAACTAATTGACATTCTCACCAACAGTGTAAAAGTGTACCTCTTTCTTTACAACCTCTCCAGCAACTGTTACTTCTTACCATTTATTTATTTATTTATTTATTTATTTATTTATTTATTTATTTATATTGTACCTTAGGTTCTGGGGTACATGTGCAGATCATGCAGGATTGTTGCATAGGTACATACATGGCAGTGTGGTTTGCTGCCTCCATCCCTCTGTCACCTATATCTGGCATTTCTCCCCGTGTTATCCCTCCCCTACCTTCTCACCCTCTGCTGTCTCTCCCCTAGCCCCCTCAACAGACCCCAGTATGTGATGCTCCCCTCCCTGTGTCCATGTGTTCTCATTGTTCAACACCCATCTATGAGTAAAAACATGTGGTGTTTGATTTTCTGTTCTTGTATCAGTTTGCTGAGAATGATGAATTGCCATTCTGACTGGTGTAAGATGGTTTTCATTGTGATTTTGATTTGCTTTTCTCTAATAATCAGTGATATTGAGCTTTTTGTTATATATTTTTTGGCCACATAAATGCCATTTTTTAAGAAATGTCTGTTCATGTCCTTTGTAGACATTTTAATGGTTTTGTTTTACATATACATATTTATATATATATTTATTTATATATATATTTAATGGTTTTGTTTTATATATATATAAAACAAATATATATATACACATATATAACAAATATATATATACATATATAACATACACACACACACACACACACACACATAAAACAATGTCAATTTTTGCTTTTGTTGCCATTGCTTTTGGCAATTTTATCATTAAATGTTTGCCCATGCCATGTCCTGAATGGTATTGCCCAGATTATCTCCTAGGGTTTTTGTAGTTTTGGGTTTTACATTTAAGTCTTTAATCCATCTTGAGTAACTTTTTGTGTAAGGTGAAAGGAAGGGGTCTGGTTTTAGTTTTCTGCATATGACTAGCCAGTATTCCCAGCACCATTTATTAAATGGAGGATCCTTTCTCTGTTGATTGTTTTTGTCAGGCTTGTCAAATATCAGTTGGTTGTAGATGTGTGGTATTATTTATGAGGTCTCTGTTCTGCTCCATTGGTTGATATGTCTATTTTAGTACCAGTACCATGCTGTTTTGGTTACTGTAGCCCTGTAGTATCGTTTGAAGTCAGGTAGCAGGATGCCTCTAGCTTTGTTCTTTTTGCTCAGTGCTGTCTTGGCTATACTAGTTATTTTGTGGTTCCATATGAATTTTAAAGTCTTTTTTTTCTAATTCTGTGAAGAATATCAATGGTAGTTTGATGGGTGTAGCATTGACTTTATAAATTACTTCAGGTAGTATGATCATTTTCACGATATTGATTCTTCCTATCCATGAGCATGGAATTTTTTTCCTTTATTTTTGTCCACTGCTTTTTCCCTGAGCAGTGGTTCGTAGATCCACTTGAAGAGGTCTTTCACTTCCCTTGATATTTTATTATCTTTGTAGCAATTGTGAATGGCAGTTCATATATGATTTGGCTCTCTGCATGTCTATGGTTGGTATATAGGAATGCTTTCAATTTTTGCACATTGATTTTGTATCCAGAGATTTTGCTGAAGTTGCTTATCACCATAAGAAGCTTTTGGGCTGAGATGATGGGGTTTTCTAGGTAAAGATCATGTCTTCTGCAAACAGAGGTAGTTTGACTTCCTCTCTTTCTATTTGAATATGTTTCATTTCTTTCTCTTGGCTGATATCCTGGCCAGAGCTTCCAATATTAGGTTGCATAGGAGTGGTGAGAGAGGTTCATCCTTGTCTTGTGCCGGTTTTCAAGAGGAATGCTTCCAGCTTTTGCCCATTCATTATGATATAAGCTGTGGGTTTGCCAAAAATGGCTCTTATTTTTTTTGAGATATGTTTCTTCAATATCTAGTTTATTGTGAGTTTTTAACATGAAGAAATGTTGAATTTTTTTGAAGGCCTTCCCTGCATCTATTGAGATAATCATGAAGTTTTTGTCTTTAGTTCTGTTTGTGTGATAAATTACATCCATTTGTGAATTACACAGCTCCAGCAGGACCTGAAAATGAGCAAAGCAAGAAGGAGAGAAAAAGTCCTGTTGCTTTTTTCTGGGAGAGTCTCAAATTACTCTTGCACTATTCTCCTGGTATACTAAATGCCGAAAGCCAGAGCAAGTCTACTTTTTGGCTACCATATCCTCTAGGACACGTTTGCTTTTTAAATTCTTTATCTTATTGCCTACCAGTAGCTGGATCTGTCAACTCGTCAAAGAGAATACGATCTGGATAGATTCTTCCTTCAGCTACGATTATTTAAGTTCTATTTAATTCCCTCCAACATCCTAAACCACCCATCTTCCAAGGGTAGGAAGGTGCCTGCAGCTGTATTAAATAGACTCTTTATTTTACAACCTCAACTCTATTTTATTATTTTCAAATAATCATTATCAAAGATCTATTCCCATACATTGACAGTTCGATCTTTTACTTTTCAGCTTGGCATATTTCCCTTTTCCTTTTTCAGATGAGTCTAAATTGACAGTCAATTCACATCTATGGCTTTGAACCTGCTTTCACGTACTTATAAAATCAAATTTAATTTTAGTTCATCTACCTGAAAAACTTGAAGATCTTCATTATTACACCACTTCTAATAATTACCTCCAAATCATTATTTCTGCTCCAATTAGCTACTATTTACAATTAACAATTTATCATTGTTTATCCATATTGAAATCTAAAACCTTCTACTTTCAAAATTTGTCTTATCTGTGGGTGTCATTTTGACATTCTCTGATGCATGCCGAACCATATGCATAGTAAATACTGTCTAATTCTTAGCATAATGCTGCATAAGGGGTTCTCAAATATGACTACATAGTAGAATCAGTGGGAAATTGAACACAATATCTGTGCCTGTACCTCTCCCCAGGAGATTTTAATTCAACTAGTCTGGAATGGCGCCCAGGTATAGGTAATTTTAACACTTTCCCCCACCCCAGATGATTCTAACATGCAGTCACAGAAAAAAAAAGTATTGTGCTAGATCATGTCAGGGATAGAAAAAAATGAGAAAGGTATGGTCTCTTTTTACTCACCATATTATATAGAGACTCAACTAACAGAAACAAAACAATTAGAGCACAAATAAACTTATATTGTTTTGAACTTCATATAAAAACCTAGAGATTGAAAAAAATAAAATGACATTATTACAAAGTAAAGATCTTTGTAAACTAGACTAACTAATGAAGGCTTTAAGCTGGTTGTTGTGAACAGATTTAGGTAAGTTCAGAAAAAGGTGAAAGAAATATGAAAAATTAGAGGAATAGCGTACACAAAGACAGTGAATCATACTTGTCATTGAGAGAAAAGTTGATATGTTTGACTAGAGTATGTGTGTTTGAAAGTTATGAAAAAATAGAGATAAATAAGTTAGTGGCAAAATCAGAGGAGTCTATCTGCCATCTTGTCTCATCTCTATCATTCCTAATAAAACAAGTATCAGGTAGTCATGGGATAAAAGCAGTGATATGAAAACTGGTATCCAGCCCCACCACTGGAAGATATATATGAAATATACAATTACACATAAAAATAGGTGTATATTTTCATTAACATCAAAAACTAGTAATGTTCTCATTTACAGGGCAGAAACATTAAATATTTGGCTTATTAGAATGCATACATAGAGCCAAATCAAAAGAGGCATAAGACAAATGCTCATTTTTCACTCCAGTGAAAGAACCGCTGAGAACTCAGGGAAGGACACCTTAATAAAATCATATGCTGAACCCACATTTTGAAATGTGAATGAAGCTCTGAGCATACAGGATAAGGGGCGGTAACCAGCAAGTGTAGTAAAAACTTCTCACTGAGAAGGTGACTACAATAAACAGAAAGCCTTCAGGGCAGGGCATCCTGTGAGAATGGATGTCTAATGAACAAACAGCTAAGTCACAGAAAGCACTCCCCTCCCATAGAGTCAACCCTAACAACTAAACTACTAGAATACCTAGTGTTTCAGAGCACTGTAATGAGGCAATTTGAAATTCAAGTTCAAGCTCTATTGCATAGAGAGTGGCTTAAGCACTTTGATTGAACTTTTTATTTATTTATGTTTTCATATTCTTCTAGATCCTGAAATGAACTGTTTAGCCTTAATTTTCCTGAATATAAATTGAAATCACTAGAAAATAATTTTCCTTTGGGGTATGTTATGTGGAATAAGTAAAATAAGGCAGGTGAAGCAATTGGCCCTTTTTATATCCTAGAAGGTATAACTACAGTCAAAAGAAACATAGGTGTAGTGGAAGAGCTTCCTTATAGAATTAGCAGCCACAAGATGTAGGAAGTCAGTGATTCAAGTCTTATTCCCAGAATGAGAAACTAGCAAGACTAGCAGGTGCAAGTACTGTACATTAGAGCTTCACTTGACAATCAGAACTTGAAATAAGTAGATGCCAGCTTGGTAAATATTCTCCTAGAGTTGATGCCCAAGAAAGTGACTCACCTGTCTCTTTCAAACATTGGAAGATAACCACTAAAATTAGTGACAGGTTTTTACCTTTTTGGAAAGGAATAAGGACAGAAAGTAATACTAGTGACTTACGTTGTATTTAGGACTATCGAACTTTGAAAATGATTTGTATAAACTACTGTGGAAAGTAATAAAATCAATTTAAAATATACATACAATGAAATAAAATATTATAAAGTCTGTGTGAAAATTTTAAAAATTATGTAAGACACTGATGAAATATGGAAGATGAAAACAAAGAACCTGCTTGGGAAAAGACATATTGAAGATAGAGATGGCGAAGAGGGGAGAAGGTGATACTTGTCTTATAAATTCTAGGGAGTTCAGTGTTTACTATATGAGATTGTCTTTGAGATAATTTTCTAAAAGATGATTTATTTATAGAAATGGAGGG